ACGAGAGCAAACCCCGATGCTGGAGATCCCGGGTGGGGCCTTGCTAATTGCATTGTGCTCATACAGTACCAGGCCATAAAGTAGTAGGATTGTACTAAAATGTATGTTCGGGCGGCATGGAGTCCGGATTCCCACTTTACAGCTCACTAAATTCATAAATATACGGTAGGGACGGTCTTCTATAGGCTCTGTAGTGTAGCGGTGCCCGAAGGTTGATTTCAAGAAATGAATTTTATGGAAGCACATAAACTAGCATAATACTTTAAACAAAATAGCTAATTTCAGAAGTTTACACAGGGAACGTTAGGACTGAGAATCCACTATTAAAATATCAACGCGGCTGTGGGTATCGCGATACCCAGATTTTTCTCTCAGAGAAAAGATAACTGACAATTTCTGCTTCGGCTTTAAAGCTACAGGTGCTGGACGATTTGCTCGAGTAGAAGAAGAGCGTTTAACGGAATTATATTGACGTGGAGCGCACGACCACGGTCAATTGTGTCACCCAACCTTAAATCCAAGGCACCCCGCACGTTACCAAAACGTGGGCATGCAAGTGCGTGAAAGGACACTCAGGGGTTCTAAAGGCCTGGCCCTTACTAGCCTTATAGGAAAGAAGGGAATGAATTCGGTACAGACGCGGTATCACTCAGGCAAGCAAGAAGCTTTGGTGTCTCCCGAGCCCTGAGTGTCCGGCCACCCACTTTCATACCCGAGTAGCCAAACGAGTAGCCAAGGACGCATGGAAAGCGCTCGCATCCTGGTAAGCGAAACTCCCAAACCATGGAACAATTGCGAGTTGAGCCCCCAATCTATTCTGAAGGTACTTGTATTATATTTAAGGTATGAGACAGAACAAAGCAACACCATGCTCCATACAGTGCTTGCACTAGTGGTATTCAAAGTTAAAAATCGGTCCTGTGTCGGTCATGTGACCCTAGGATTTGGTACAAGTACTAATGTGTTTAAATGCTAATTTTACGGCACTGCAGAGCCCTCGAGCGGAGAGACCTGTCTGCTTTTCCCCGAATTGGCAGAGTTCGGATGGGTTAGTGCCATTGTGTCGTTTTTCTCTCTCTTTTGTTTTCGCTTCCTGGCATATGAAAGCTACCATATTCTAAGGGAGTCTACGGTAATTGCTCATCGAAAGACAAGGTTTATTTTCACAGGCGTCTACCCCGCCGCGTGTCGTACTTGTATGGTTTAGCGACGGGTTGCGATATAACATTGACTTAAATTTACAGTACTAGTACGGCATCGTGGAATTACGATGGAGCGGGGAACGGCTCTACCGGTCGTTAGCTAAGTGCGATGTCTCGGGCTACCACGGGCCCGAGCACTTCTTCCGGCCGAAAAGTATGTACTTGTTACAGGCAACAAGTACCCGAACATTTGGTGGACAATACAGGGGGGAATACAGGGGTAGTACGGGGGGGTAAAAGAGTAAGAAGAGGTCTGTGTAAATAGATCAATGTCAGTCAGAAAAATAAACTTGGATGTATGAATTAGGAAATACTTTAAACACCCCCTATTATACCCTATTCCAAGCGTGATCTCTGTAAACAAACAATCACAGCATCAACAAACTCCTGAATATATCATAGTAAGTACTTAATTCTCTAAAAACAAGTACCGGAACTAATTGAAATAGGCATGCAACCTATCAAGAAGCAAGAGACTTCATACAAGCAGCGCTGCTATGTGCAGTGCTTACGAACACGGGCTAATTGGACATATCGTGAGATCGCTGCTGATCAAAACCTTGCAGTCAGCACAGTGCATGATATATGCCATGCTCCTGCAACACCAAAGAAACGGAAAGGACGACACTTCTCGATCAATACACCAACACGTCGCCTACTTGTTGCTACTGCAACAAGTAGTGCCACAAACAGGAGACTGCCATTTAAAGATGTTGCAGAACTCTGTGGTGTCCGGGCAAGTGAAAAAACCATTCGAAAAGCATTTCGAATGGAGGGCTATGCACGACGGGTTGCCCGAAAAAAGCCATCACTTGATGCTCGAAAGAAACGATTACGACTGGAGTTCACTTTGCAATATGTAGAGTGGACACGGGAGGACTGGCGTCGGGTCATTTGGACTGATGAGTGTTATGTGTGGTTGGAGGGAACGCATGGGCAGACTTGGGTTACTGGCCGCCCTGGTGAGGAATACGATGATGATTGTATTGCCTCTAAGATCCCAAAGAAGAACTCGGTCACGATATGGGGTGGGATTTTGGATGGCAAGAAAGCTCCTCTTGTTTTGTGGGATAGGGAGCATTGGGGGACAATCATGGCTGCTGCATATGTTGAGCATGTGCTAACACCGGTACTCTGACCCTATTGGTATCACGAAAGCCAACTACATAATCAATGGCTTTGGGTTATGGAAGATGGAGCTTCTGCCCACTGTGCAGCCTTTACCAACTCTGTTCGTCAGAATTACCAAATGCCAAAAATTAATTGGCCGCCCTCCTCCCCCGACTTAAACCCGATTGAAAATGTTTGGCATATTTTAAAAAATATGCTTGACAAGCACCGTCCCCGTCCTACATCTCTAGCAAGTATGATCAAAGCTATAAAGGAGGAATGGAAGGCCATACCAGAGTGGGAGATCTTAGGCTTTATTGACTCAATGCCTGAAAGAATTGCAGCGGTCATTGCTGCTCAAGGTGGTCATACACGGTGGTAGTTTTCTTTATATTTAGTTTTTTATTTTCTTTACATATCTATGTATTTATATTTATTATCATATAATATTCTTATAATTTATCCTTTTTATAAGCATATTTTTTGTTTCTTGTATAAGTAGAAACTATTTTTCAGACCTTCAGTATCGTGTGTACAAAATAGGTTGAATAAAAGCTCGGCTGCGGGACAGGAAGTATTTCCTAATTCATACATCAAGGGTTATTTTTTTAATGGACGTTGATCTATCTACACAGACCTCTTCTCGCTCTTTTACCCCCCTGTACTACCCCTGTTTCCCCCCCTGTATTGCCCACCAAATGTTCGGGTACTTGTTGCCTGTAACAAGTAACGGCCTAGCATATGATACAGCAACGTACTTGCACCATACAGATTTGAATAATTAGACCGTGTGCTATGTCGTTAGGCTTTCCTCTATTGGTAAGGTCTGGTAACTTTGCTTTTCTCTTCTGTCTCGGGAGGGAAGGGGCTGCGCCTTTGCTACGAGTCCGTCTTTGATTAGCCACCTGTACGAGTACTCGAGTACACAGCACCAGTCTTGTTTGGGAGGATCTTTGGGGACAAGTGCGGGCTCCAGCCGGGTGGATCATTAAAGAGTACAGTACAGGTCGATCTTCCTTTCTTGAGAGTCGTAAATTAGAAAAGGTTGTAGTCTCCAATAGGGTTTTAACTTCCCCAACACCTAGGAGGCCTCAAGCGCGAGGGTTGAGTTAGGACTTTACTGCTGCTTGCACAGGGTTTCTTTTTGAATCGGGCTCTTCTAGTAGGAGATAGGGAACACTGTACGGTACGAGTAGTTGCAAAGATAAGCCGACCGAGAGAGTTCATCTTGCGACGGTAATGGCCCCCTGGCGAATCGCTGAACATTGAGCCAATCAGAACGAGCCGGAGGTCCGGGGATTTTATGATTGGGACGTGCTAGACTACTTGTGGTGTGCTGCAAGGGGTTACACTCTACAGGTACTTGTACTTTTAATTCATAAGCAAAGAGAGTGTCAATTTAAGCATTCGGTGCTAGAACCTAAGCGTATTAACACCATTAAATTTTTTGCTGTTCCATAGCGTCTACCGTACCGGTATTGTCTGTGCTCACTAATAGGAGAAGGACCGCTTAAGCGTACCTATATCATATCCTGTTATCACCCCATAATACCTGAATCCCATGATGGTGGTGGTGGACTTGCACAATTCCTTGGCTGGCTCGGAAATGTGGGGAAGTGTGTTGGCATTACTATGGAAGGTGGCTAGCCATCCCGTAAATTTACATAGGTAAATTTACGAGGGCACAACAAGAAGGTAAACCCTCATACTCATCTACGCTCTTGAGCCATAGTCTGCATGTCTACACATACCTGTGTTCCTGCGCTTCGCCTTATCTACGCTCCCAACACTACAACACTCTGCTACTGGGATTATCATACCCATCATCCCATCCCCACAAAACCACACGACTCTTGGAGACGAACGGGAGAATGGAAAATCCCGCTCCAACACACCCGCATCCGACATGAAGTATCTGAAAATGAGACCGGTTTTTTTTTTTCTTGCTGGTAGAGTGGTTATGTAACACGAGCCATATTTTCAGATACTTGTTGCCGGGGGCAAGTACGGCGGCTTCCCGATGATCACCCCATTACCTCGGATACTTCGAGTGAGGACAGCTCGGGACGTTGGACCTTAAGGGACGTCTAGGTGAAAAAGGCCTCAAGCAGGCATCCCCGCTCGATACCCCAATTATCCTAATGTAGTGCATATTTCGGTTCGGTTCGAGGCCTGCCTTAAGGCCGCGATGTGTCTGATACCCGCTATAATCCTTATATTGAATATCCCTGAAACCACAGCCAACTAGTCGCAAGGCCGCGTCGAAGTCAGGGACCGAAAGTGGCAATTCCCATACAAAGCGTTCGACTCCACCCCCATGCCACGCGCTAGTACCGTACGAGTGCTGCATCATACACCTAATCTATCTTACGGTAAGTTACTAATTTTATGCGTGGTAGTCTAACCGTCGATCAAGTTTTGCCAAATTGTAAATTAACCTCCCTCTCCACACACCCATATACACGCACTAAGAAACAAGATCCCACCGAGCGCCTTGGTATTCAGCGGGATGCGGCCTTAGTGTCGGTGGGCATCGTGGTCGGCTTGTGGGGGGGTCACTCACCCAACGTGGGTTGAAAAGGCGCAGGGCCCGCACCGTTATTCTTGTTGACTTTAGAGTAGTTCAAGTAATAAGATCTCCGAATCGAAAAGGAAGGGAGAAGGAATTGAAGAGCGGGTAAAAAAAAACAACGGCCTCCTTTATCGACCAACTACACCAGCCAACCAAAACAAGTGCGCCGTCAATCCATCCCGATTACACCGCCGGAGATCATTTATTCGTCTTTTCATGTCATAATTCGAACTCGACTACGGACCCAATGTCTTCGAACCCGCTGGAGACGGGATCGGATTTTGCCATTCAGAATAAGGGCCCCTGGGGGACTACTACTGCAACTATTTTACTGTCGGTAACAGGCGTGGTAGTCGTCGCGAGGATGTACAGTAGGGCAATTATCATGAGGTTTGTGGGTGGGGATGATTATTGTATTTTGTGTGCAATGGTGAACTTTTAACCACCGAATGGTTTTGTTTTGAGAATCTGGAAGGGAGCAGCGGCTGATTGTTATTGGTGTGGATGTTGCAGGCTACAGCTATTGCATTGACTATACTATTGTGCAAGAGTATGTTCACTAGAGGAATCGGGGCGGTTGGAAATAATGGTGGACTGACTCTGAGTGGCAAACAGGTGCCGAATATGGAGCTGGGAAGCATGTAGCGGAGCTTCCAAAGGATAATGTGCTCCAAATTATTAAGGTCTTCCGCACTTTCCCACACCCTGAAAATGAAAAGAGAACTCCAAAAAGCTAAGACACGTTTACTTCCTCAGATAGGATACAGCATGCAAATCCTGTACGTGGTCGTAATGACCTTCACGAAAGCCTCCCTTCTCCTCCTGCTCATACGGCTGGTCCAGAACCGCGGGATGTCAATAGTGGTATGGTCGATTTTCGGATTCATGGGCGCATTTGCTATGGCCAGTTTCTGGGCCTCAGTCTTTCACTGCACGCCACCATCGTATGCTTGGGAGCAGATGGACCGAGAAAGTCTTGAGGGCAGCTGTGGAAATTTAAAGGCTCAGCAGTATTGGGTGCCGGCCGGGAGTATTGTGATGGACTTCATCCTGTGGCTGCTACCGCTGAAGTTGATATACCCATTGAAGCTTCCGAGAGCGCAGAAGATCGGCTTGTATATGGTGTTTATATTGGGCGCAATGTAGGGATTTTAAGCATTTATTCTCATTTTATTTTTAGAGGGACGGTTGCTTATGTACGTGTGATGTGCAGGGTGTTTATTTCAGCTTCTGTAAGGATATCGCTGATCCTCGCGCTGAGTACCTTCGGACCTAATACGGAAGATCCGACCTGGACAACTTATCAGATCAATCTTTGGTCGATGTGCGTTCTACTCTCGTTCCCCGTCCATTCCCCACCTCCCGCGAGGTCACGGCTGACATAAAGTGAATCAAAAAAAAGTGTCGAAGCAACTGTCGGAATAATATGCAGCTCCTTACCAACCCTTCGACCCCTCTTCAAGAGACACTTTCCCTTCGTCTTTGACCTGTTATCCAGGGTTTTTGATGGACGGGACGGGACCTGGAATCAAAGCTCTTTCCGTACATCTGCCCCGGTGATGGAAATCGCCGCTCACTCACCTTCCAAGTGGCCATTCCCGTTCCGCTCCCCCTTAGACTCAGCATTTAGTTCTACAGATCTATTCCCTGACCCAAACGCGAGTGCCCAGGGCCTTGATATTGATCTCGAAGCCAGTATAGAAAGCTGTAGCGAAAAGGGGTCCCGGAGCATCATGCTTGAGATGGACATAGCAGACGTAGTCCTTGATCAGGGGTCAGGTAAATTCGGACCTATCGATATCCCAAGGGCCGGTTCTAGTTCAAATTCAAGTTCTCGTTAGGAAGCATGTCCATTCTCTCGGTTTATCGCACACGGCGTTTTTTTTCCATTGTACAACTCTCACGACACCTTAGACGGCTTTATTTTGCCTCGCATGGTTTTCAGTGCATCGAGCATTAGTTATTCATGTCCTTTCTTTCGTTTATTATTTACTTCCTTTCCTCCATGTATATACCACAGGTTCGGCGCACAGGAGTAATATTGGTATATGGTACTTGACTGAATATATAGGAGGTTATTTTTCGGGAACCTTTAATAATTCGTGGGGAAAAACACCTATTGCCCCAATATCCCGAGCGACCCAATATGGTATCTCCGGAATAAAATACTTCCATTGAGACCTAAAATCATCCGAACCGCACGGCCAACACTACACTTGCGTTATGGCAAATGGGCTCCTGGAATGGTATTATGCCTACCGGCATTATCTTCGCTTTAATGCATACCATAGGCTAGAATCAGCCAAACACTCGCAACATACCTATAATACAACAGAATGAACAACCTCCCAAAAAAACGCACTCCACCTCAGCATGCTACTAGATTCAGTCCAACTACCCTCTAGGACTAGGAATAGCGGTGGGCTACCTATCATAGCCCTCAAGCATCAACCCGAGCACATGGAGTAGGGAATGCGCCCCGCCATATCAACACCCCTTACATGGGACAACCCCTCCATCCCCAAAAAACCATTCAGTCCGTCCATCTAACCCGTAGCCGAGAAACGTGAGGAACACTACGGGTGAAGAAAAATTTATTCTAACTAGGGGGTGGGGCCGTTGACGAGTACGGCACTGTGGTCGGCGATACTCGTTAGGCTGGATGGGATCGTGCGCTCTATCTCGCGTGGCCGAGTTGAGGTCGCCGACCCGGGCAAAGAAATGGGACGGTAGGCCAATCACGTAAAGGTATGCTCAATCTCCTTGCTCTCTGGTTGGCTGGCAGATGGCAAAGGCGGGCTCGGCGCACGACTTCCACCCGGCGGCGCGAGCACTAGTACAGGGGAATGGATTTACTGTACGCTCATAGAGATCTAAAGTAAGCTAGGGTACCGTGCAGTTGGAGGGGAAAAAGGGAAAAAGGAAAATAATAATAATAATAATAACAATAATACTACTCGTAGTTGGTGCACAGTAGCGCTTGTGACGTGATATGATCTGATTCCAGTTCCGGATTTAAGTCGAGCCAACTCCGCCGAAAGTTTGGACGATGGAATCGTAGACCTTGTTCTCCCAAGTGTTATTTATACACTACTGTCCCGCTCCTCTAAATACTTACAAGGGGGAGGATCCCTGGGCTTCGCCCAGATCCATACGGTACATGCTTCTCCGGCGGAGGGGTGTTCATAGACGGCATAAATTGGTAGAGGTAATTGACGGACTTCGCTACTGTTTTTCTTGGTTCGTTTGCGTGTCGGTGCCCGGATATCTACGGAGAGCAAAAGATTATACTAGTACGGTACCGGTACTTGTATGCGGGCCCATTATTTTAAATCTGGGGATCCCGATCCGAAGAGAGTGGGATCTAACTCAACACTAACGATTAATTTCTATGCAGGATTCTCCTCTAGATGGTGTCTCCAATGGGCCCTGTCCTCAAACGAAGGCAGCTAGTGCTTTAAAGTGGGTAGTTAACTCGCGGGGACCTGTATTACTCGTGCTCTAGGGAAGTGTCTAGACTTTGATGGGACCAAAGAGTGGGATTCTAGCCATCTCTTGCTGCAGCTTCTAAAACGAAACGGCGGTCACGTTGGCAGAGCTAGAACCCCTACGAAATGGGTTTGAGGAGATGTTCTAACAAGAGTAGTTACGGCTCAGTGGTAGGTATTGGTGTATTCTATCACAAGCACAGCATCGCACCGCTGGTGTACAGTACTCGAGTGCGGTTCCGGGGAGATGGGAATGTTAGCCGTATTTTGGTCATCCCCCTTTGTTGGATTGAGAAGTTAGATTTTCATAGACGATTCTTGAACTTACTCGCGGCCGGGGGGCCCTTTGCCCGGGATCGCCTCTGTTTACACCAACCCCTAATAGACACCGGAGTGACATAGTCGCTGATGTTTTCGTTACCAGTCTGCGAGGTGTATTCAGGAACTGAATTCTTTAGGAAGGACTTTCTAAGCCCATGCAGTGGAATGTTAGCCACCCCATTGGCTATTTTGCAGTTCACGATCAGTTAGCTAGCGGTTACGGGGAGGGCACCCAAGCCGCTAGTATCGCTCGACCGGGTATTAACAAGAGCGCCGTAATACCGGTATTGGCAACCTCTCCGCTTAACTCTCCGCAAACAATTTGCACAAGCAAGTATCCGTCAGCACTCTTACTACTATTACAAGCAATGGTGCTCGGATAATAGAGTTGTGTAATAAAAAGTTTACTATTTCATCCACCCTGGGAATGCCAGCCACCCCGCAACACTCCCCCCCAGCATCACGAAATTCATCCGAAGCCAGACTTTGAGATATCAACCCCCACAAAAACCCACCACACAATCCCTAAAGAACCTCGACCGGAGACAGTTTCAACAACAGTTTCAACAACAGTTGTCTCCAACATCCCCAAAGGCTCCATTAAAGCTATATAACCCTTCCAGGCACTGTCGAGTGTCCGGATCGCTGCTGTGAGCTTTATCTTAAGCTCTTTCTAAGTTTAAGTTTCGAAAGGCTAATGTTTTATAGCGCTCGTAGCTTCTTCGGTGCTACTTGCGCCGCTCGAGGATGGTGGAGGGGAAGGAAAGACAGGGTAAACCTGGTCCCCAAGCTGGCGGATCGGAATATTGGATAATTGGGGGCTCAGAGGATATGTCTAGATTTGAAAGTTGGTCTGCTGGTTCGTCTGTCGTCGAAAAGCCGTCGTAGCGAAGATAATTTGGAAAGTCGGAAGATAAGAGTGAGGTGTGGTTTGGCGTTTCATAATGTACGAGTGATGTCCCGGATCCGAACTAATACTGGTGGATTCATCCTTACCAGTATCTCCGTATCTCCTCGGTAATGATCCGCGTTGGAATCCTTCCCAGATTCTTGTCCCGGTCGTACCCATGCGATACCACATGCTCAATAACTATGCACGGCCCCTTCTAAGGGCTGATGAGAAGGTGGTGGGGCATTACCGTATTGTGATCGCCGAAGTCTTCAGATCCGGGCTGTTGGATGGGTGTGAAGGATGGGACGAGATAGTTGTATTTCTTAGCAACGACGGAGGCTGTACGAGTAGACAAAGGAAATACATGACTGCCGAGCCTCTTCTCCTGCTCCTGGATCACCCAAACCCTAAACCCCTATACATGAGGGTAGCCACCTGTACCACCTGCTAACACGGGCAAGTTGGGGAATGTGAAAAAAAAAATGCTATCCCCAGTGTCTTGAAATGTGTCGAAAAGCAAAAAGCTCCCCATTGGGCAATTCGCAAACTGTCCAGATCGCTTCAGACCTGATTTTTCTCACCTTACCCTAGGATGATAAAGTTGCCCCTCCTAGTAAGGTCTATCATGCATTCGTTTTGTTTGTCTTAGTGGAGGGGCCGAAAGTCGGTTTCTTTTGGAGGGTGACCACGCCCTTTGTCTAAAGCGGGGAATTCTGGATGTTTTACTTATAGTCTGGGGTTCAATTATTTCCATACCCGAGTAGTTTACCGTGGCGTATGATAGTGAGCCACCATGAAGAATTCCGCACCATAAATGGAACGATACACACGCATACTTGGACTGCGTAGCACTAGAATAGAGACGCTATGTTCTGTTATATCAAAGAAACATGGGCATTCCCTAACCATATCTCATTCCGTATTTCCCGCTCCCCTAACCAGAGAAACTATGATGCCCATGCAAAGTTTAGGGGCACGGGCTCTCGTTAAGATTCTCCATAAATTGCCAGTAATACATCAGAATGAATATGGGATCCCCAGGAGTAGCATACTCGTGTGCACTGTACAGTTCTATACAGTCAAGACAAGGTAGCGACCAGACAGGGCCAGAGACGCGTCTGCTGTTGTGGACTATAAGTATTTTCCTTAGGCCGCTTGAGCCTTTTTGGCCATGAAAGGTCTGGAATTGTTCGGCCTTCCATCTAAGGGGGAAGACATAATAAATTCGGGGCGCAGAGGGTCAAAAGCGCCAAAATAGGTTCTGGGCGGGGAAATAAGGAATAGAAACATGCCCCAATGACTGGTACTGCTTAAATTTAAACGGCCGTACTAGAAGGATTCGGTTTGCGCAAGATAAAAAGTGAGGGAAACAGTAAAAAGAGTAAAGCTATTATAGCGCGCCTACAAAGACATTACCCGCTCTACCAAATTAGGTTCCTCATAAGATATCCTCCCTTATCACTGCATAACCGTTATCGGGACGGCAAGTGCCTCGAACGTAGCTTCGGTAGATGGCACTCTTCAGCAAGCTTAACCCCCCTCTCCCCGCAGCTCCTGGTATAGAACCTCCTACGATATGAAAATAATCCGCTCCACCAAAAGAACTTTATCATTTACTGTAATTTCTATAGCATCCTGTTCGCAAATATCCTCTTTGGCGATGAAAAAATCTGGCCACGAGTTCCCGGAAGAGGAGAACGAGTGAGTTTTAATGATAGAAAAAATGCCAGGGGAACACTAGTACCGGAGTCTCCTGCAGAACCGGAGCCTGCTGTAGGACTTGCTTGGGGTGGCAAGTTCCCCTCTTCGAGGAGGTAACGAGTAGCCACGAGATTAACCAGGTGAACAGGTGAAGAAACCGCAATCCAATCGTGTCTTGACGGAGGATCTTAGGTGAGGAACGCTTTAATGACCTGGTTATGGGCATGTCGAAAGTTTTTGAATACGATAAGTCACTTAGCAGTATCATACAAGTGGGAGAGCAGTAGGTGACATAGTTCGGCTAGACATACTTGAAATCCTCCACCGATCAGCATCTGAGCCTCGGCTGCTCTGTTTTAAAGGGGAAAACGTCGCCACCCTCCATTTCTCCTCCCCTAGGGCCCTGTGTTCAGCCGCCGATGGCGTGCTCCTAGCTCGCGTGGATTACCTCCGACGGATCTTCGATGGAAACATGATAACCTTTTTCTCCTCCGTTCTTTTCCTCTCTTTCCTACTTGGGCACGATACCGTGGGTATCGGTGGGATCACCATTGGAGTACCTGATTACTGCGGTCCCTTGAGCCGCCTACGTCAGTGGAAAAAAAAATTAAAAAAAATCACCTCCACGGCGCTGAGCAAGTCTTAACTTATCGTTAATGGGTTTACAAATCCCATTGTGTACCAAGAGTTGCACTCCACCGTACCCGGTGAAGGATGGTTAGAAACAGACCTGGGTGGCGGCTCGAGGAAGGTTTCTAAGCTCAGGGTGGTCCAGGTACTCGAGTACAGTACAGTACAGTACTAGTACTTCCTCATTCTAGAAATGGGTCTGTGTTCTCAGGGATCTCAGAAACTCCAATTCTAAAGGAAGAGAAAATAGTGATCTATCCAGCCCGACTCTCCGGACCACCGGTATGCCCCTAAGGAAATTGTGACTCTCTCTTGGCCAACTTAATATTTTTCTGCAGCCAAGTTGGAAATCCCGAAAAGCGCTATTTTTCGGACGGATCGGAGGGTACTTGGGAACCTTGCTATAGCCTACCAGCCATACCTGTACTCGAGCACTAGAGCCTTTGCGCGACCGGGCCCCGGGGTTGGATGGCATCTAGCCTTCCTAATACCGGCGGTTTGCCTACCTGAACGCTAAATACGGGTCCTGTTCTGGTGCCCTTCGGAGGCACCATTCCAACCTGTTGGGCAAAGGCTCCGCTGCAGAGCAATTCAGTCTCTACGAGTAGAGACACTGTACGAGTACTGCACTGTGCTAGTACGTTGTACTTGGACCTGACGGGAGAACACAATATCAAAAGGCATAATAGGACGTGGCTGCCATGCATTGGCTTATTGCTGCTTCTCCGCGTAGTGACAGGGTGAGCGGGTAACGCTCACCTTTGGTGCGTTGGACAAAAGATAGGGCTGCATCCTGGTGAGTCGTGCTTTGTTCATCGCCAAAACAGATCCTGGACCACGCTCTGCCTATGGTGACGATGGTGACGGCGATTCATTTCAGGAATGAGGATTAGGTTAGGCCTAGCGGTAGCTTTATGGCGAGTATCCGCTCCTGCTGGCGGAACGCCGGGTGACTGTAACCCCATATCATATCAAGCACTGGTTGGACTGCTGCACCAGTGAGCAGAGTACTCGAGTACAGTACTCGTACTGTACCGGTATGATACGGTGGTTGGGGGAAGGGGCCCGTTCCCGTCGCCGTCGTTCAAGCCTTTCGAGCCGCCTGAGCGACTTGATGACGTCGCAGATCCCTGTCGATTCTCCCTTCGAGTACTAGCACTGCGCGGTACCGGCATTCCTTCATGTTTTTTTCCGGCAAAGCAGGTCTCGCGGAGCCATTCCGCGAGGATGGATGAAACAAGAGCTGGAAGGAGCAATCTCCGATCGGAATCCTTAACCTTCGCTGGCCAACGCTTGGGGTTGTAGTCTGGAGGCCAGCGGTCCTGTGTATCAATACTCGTACCGAACGGCGTGATGGTCGAACAAGTCTTTAGCCTTCTCACTAGCCGGCGAACCCAGAGCCATGAATTCAGAACTCACTTTTTTTTTTGGCTGGCTCGGTTATCGGGGCCAAGAGAGTGGCGTTTTCCTGCCTGTCCAAAGGGAGCACAGGGAGCTGGGCACTCGAGCCAAGCGAGAACAAGAAAAACAAAAGGGCAAAAGCACGTCTCCCTCTCGGCAGTATGGGTTGGGAATGCCTGAACCGCAAAGTAAGTGCAGCACGAGTTCCTTGGGTTGGCGGGTCGAATCCAATTTGCAGCGTCCGGATGGGAATACCGGCAATGAATCACAGTCACGCGATATTGTGCTCGTACGAGTACGGGTGGAATGCTGATTCGTTTGCTCTACCCTATGGGGCGGGACTGATGGACGCTGCATGTGCTGTACCGGTATTCGATCGCAATAACTCAATTAACGAACCACACGATAGGGTATTATATGGTAGTCTAGTTGGTTACCTGCGCCGTCCAAAGGACAAACGCCGAGTTACACAGCGTCTTCGAGTCGACTCAAGTCTCGCCAAGATGCAGATAATGACGGGGCAACTCTTGAGCGGATACAACACTGATGAAAAGAAAGTTAGGAAACTCTCAACCATTGCATTAGATGGGCCGCTGCTCACACGGGCGCCGGGCAAGTGCTATGCGCAAGTACGGTGTCCCATGGGATCATAGTCGGGGGACGAGAGTTCCCCCCACAAGGTGATGGGCGTTTGTGGCGTGAGTGGGAAAAGAGGGCTATTTGAACTTGGGCCGGCACTGGCAAGTCACCCTTGGGTATCACAATTATAATCACTCTTACCGCGGGGAATTTGTTATCGGCAAATACGATACAGTGGCCCTTTTCCTCCGTTGGATCACTTATAGGGCATGCGGTTGTGGGGCACGCGGTTATTGGCAGTTGTTTTTACGTCGTATGCCGTTAAGCATTGGGTAGTGGTGTTGGTTTTGTTTCCGTTATACAAGTACCAGTTGCCGGGGCGCGTCTGGTATCGGGTGTTTGGTTTAACTTGGCCTGTTGTTTCGCTCTGTCACCCGGCACATGGCATCGGGTTCAGTTGGGTTTCGCCATGATAGTGGCTTGTTCGGGATGGTTGATGTTCGTTTGATACCTCAGAGTTTCTGCTTAGCTCTTGTCATCGCCGGAATGCCTTCGTGCATTTTTCCCATTTGCTGTGGTCCGTGTGGCTTCGTCTGGTTTCCGGAGGTGTTAGTGCTTTGTAGATGTATATAAATGATCTCCTACGCCGTCATTAGTTAGCATCTTTATCGATCGTCTGGTTCATCGTTTCCCCACGTTTAGTTATGCTTGGCCACTGTGATCTCACTCGCCGTGCTTCCTCCATTAGCCCGCCCTACCAATAGTCTTAGCTGTCCATACCGGCTCTCGTACAGGCTGCCCCATGCGATGGAGGTTTGGAGCATGGAAGGGAGGAGGCGATTTTGGAATTGCCATCCTAGCTAGTGGGGATACGCCAAGACTCCAATGCCTCTTGGAGGCCACCCTCCACAATACAGTGATTGAGTATGACAGCTCTTGTGGAGTTGACGTCGAGACTCGAGGGGGGGATTGTGGCATATAATAGCATCAACCGGGAAAGGAAGGGCATAAATTATATTAAGCGGGGTCAATATTGAGGTGTACTCTACCAAGTCTACCTTTGCCCAACGGAGCTCCCGGGACGAGCGAGCGAGGAGAACAAGCAACTCCTAGTGGTCTGCGAATAAAGTATCACGAGTTTTTCCTACAGGTGTGGGAGGAGGGTGCACACTGCTTATCTCTTGCGGTCAACCATTCGGCCATCAGCTGGTAAGCTTGCGGCCGGTTCATCCTACACAGTAACCCCTTATCAGGTGGCATACAGTACCCCGCCATCCAGTCTATCCCCTTAACTTCCGCCATTTTCCACCATCATCCAGTGTTTTTGTCACCGCTGTAGCAAGAACCGTTAACCCCTCTCCCCCCCTCTCCTCTCCGGCCTCAGCTCCCTTTGCTCCGTCAAGCCACCCCGTCACCGACCCCCCACTTATGCCCCTTACTCTCACTCACTCTTTGGCTTCTTGATCACTCGAACTTCTTAGAAACGGCCTCAACCTTCGCTCTGTCTATTGACTGACCTGTCCGACCACCGGTAACTGGCCTACTTACCGTGCTAGAGTACAGCACTTACCCTCCCTCTCTCTATCTCGCTTGTCCACCTCACATGATTGCGGTCCCCATTCCGCTTTGATTGAATCTGCGCACGTTTTTTTCTCTTGGTCGGCCTAGCCCTATTTAACACTCTGCAGCTAGCCCCCCCTTTTAAACTCGCTAGACGGGCAAGACAGAAAGGAAGAGGAGGGGAGCAAGGTAGGTGTCTGCCTGCGTGAACGCTCAGCCCAGCATTCGGAGGAAGATTAAAGGACTGCATGCGTGAGCATCTGTAAGTGAGCTTGAGTGTGTGGGTCCTAGAGGGCTAGAAGCTCAAGCTCGAGGTGTGTTGGGCAAGAGACCGGGAGAGGAGCGGTGGTGGCAAGCGCTTTCCTTTCTCTTTACGCCGTTTCCTGGACTATTCAGGAAAGGGCCGAAGTTTGAACTTGTATCCTAGCTCCTGGTTACTTATGTAACCTTTGGTTTTTAGGGATACACGGCTCACTCTTGAGGAAAAAAAGAAGAAAAAGAAAAAAAGCGGACTATCCTGGCATCATACGGAGAAAAAACAGGTTCCTCGAGAGTTGCTCCTCTATCGTTGCCTACCCCATTCGAGCAAGTCCTTTTCAGAGGGAACGCTTGCCAAAGAAGGGAAGCAGGAGAGAGGGAGAGGGAGATAATTTATTAGAAGACACAACGAAATACTCGTACGGTACCGATTTTCAACATTGCGGCTGCTTCAACCGCAGAATTAGGGACTTTGCCATTGTCGCTGATCGTCCCCTCCGTAAACTTGGAAATTACCGGTATTGTTCATCTGGGCGGAGGCGACAATACGGCTTTACCCGCGCTTATTAGAAACCGAGCGGAGGGGACTGAGGGACAACGTGAAGGCAAAAACACAAACTCGGCCAAAATCATCCGGCCTTTCTCAACCCCACTACACGATCTTATGGCTCCTCCTCCTCTGCAGGATGGGATGTCGGGGCCAGATAATAGTAACGGTGCCCGGGCTTCGATGACAAACAATAAAAACCCCGAAGGAAACGGTGGGGAGACACCGGATGAGCTACCTATCGATCCTGAGCATGAGTCTTCCTCCCTTCCTCCCTCCGCATTCCCATATCATCACTCTACGAACAGAGATGTTCAAACATGTGCGGCGCATCCTCACCTCTCGAACCCACCGCCGCCATCAGGCGCGTCGTTAGCGTTCACAGCGCTGCGGTTTCTCCCTACCCCACTACTCATCCTATCCCAGAATAAAACGGTGGTTTTGGCGAACGAGGCTATGGGGAGATTACTGGGGGCGGGGTCAACCGGTCAGTCCACAGATGGGGTCGGCGGAACATTACCGGAGCCTTCGATAACCGACATACTCTACGGGAAGGGCTTAGGGGATCTCTGTTTCGCTGTTCTCCAGCGGAAGTGGCCCTTATGGGTGAGCTGGGAGCAACTCTTGAACGCTTTGGCGAGTGACATCGAGAAGGGCGAGGGGTTCCAAAATGCGAACTCCCTTCTCAATATTTCGACAGAAGCACCCCCCTTGTCCGGAGGTCCGTCGGTTCCACAGACTCTGATACGAGATGCAACTATAGATGTCCTGTTCCCAACGTTGGATGGTTCTTCGGACGGCAGGTCACGCCAGGTAGAGGCGAAGATGGTAGTCTCGATATGGGCGTTGGACGGGGAGAGATATTTCACACTCATGTTCAATTCCATGACCTCATCATCCGGTACTTTTAACGCGGGCAGTCCCAATTCGGAAATGGCCTTCTACACAACGAAGGGCACAACCACTGATGGGTCATGCCAGACCACTCAATTCGGTGCATCAATGCCGGGATTACTGCCTCCTGCGGCCCCCTCATCATCTGACATTTCACCCGTACCCTCTGTGCTGCAGAAGATCACGCGAATAAAGGATGCTGCCTTGGACGCGATGGAAATCCCTGTTTTTGCCGTGTGGCATGATGGCTCGATCGCGATGGCGAACCGTGCGGCACAGAACCTGCGGCCCACCGACAGGAATGTGGGGAATGCCGAATCGGGAGGTTTCGCGAGCCGGTACAATATCTGGACAGAGGATTTCTCGCGACGTCTCACCGAGGACGAGATTCCCATTATTCGGCTCTTAAAGAGCAAGAAGCCTCTTGTGCCCCAGAGGATTGGAACGTTCTCACCCACCGGGAATAGGGTTGTATTCGACACTAGCGGGGAAGGTATATATGATGATGAAACAGGAGAGTTCATTGCCGGCTTAGTCTGGTTAAGGGATATAACCGGGTATGGAGGAAAATTGGTGACCCACCAGGAAACGGACGAGTTACGGTTTATGAATATGTGTGACAGTATGCCACAGCTGGTATGTTTGTGAGAAATCCGAAAGGTCATGGTATCTTGTCGACCGGGATTGGTTAACAGCAGGTTGCAAATTTACAGATATGGACTACTAGGCCGGATGGATATCACGATTACTATTCGAAGCGCTGGTATGATTATACAGGACTCACCAAGGAAGAATCTCTGGGCAGAGTAGACAAATCTATCGGCTGTCATCAGGTGCGATATTTTTCTTTTAGGTGCTAAGTTTGCGCTCCTTAAAGCAGGGTTGGGTGCCGCCATTTCCTGCGGTAAACCTCCCTGGCTTCACTGGACCCATATTGTGCTGCCGTCTTTGGTTCCGTCCCCAATTTTTTAATTGGTGTTTGATGTTGCTGTTTGTTCATCACTGGCTACAGTCTTCCGTTCTGATGGGCGGTCCCCTCTTCCATGGCAGATTGATTAACTGCTTTGGTTGTTGATAGGGAGACGTGCAGCTTGTAAACAAGAAATGGCAACACAGTTTAGCGACAGGACGTGATTACACCGTAGAATACCGGTGTCGGCGTTGGGATGGTGTCTGGCGCTGGATGCTCGGCAGCGCATTACCACTACATGATCCGAAGACCAACGAAATCATCAAATGGTATGGCACCTGCACTAATATTCACGATCTTGTCGAAGTCCGCGAGACTGCCCGCCGCACTTCTCCTCAACTTCGCGAGGTTCTTCAGCATTCTCAGATAACGCTTTGGGCGATTGACCGGAGCAATCGCATCACGCTATTAGAGGGTGGAGAGATATGGGAGACGGCGAACGCCCCGAAGGCAGCTATAGGGAGTAACATTTACGACCTATTCAAAGATTGTACGGAGTTTCTTTCCCCGATAGGGGATGTCCTTCAAGGGAAAGAGGAGGAGCTGTTCTCTGAGGCCGCGTTATATGGTAGGTGGCTAAAGACAAAGTACGTCCCGATACTCGGGAAGAAAGGCACCGCTGGGCAATACGACAAGGATTACATTAGTGGGATCATAGGCGTTAGTGTGGATGTTACGGAGATACATAACAAAAGCATAGAATTGGAGGCCCGCGAACGGGAGAATCAGGTATTAGTTGCTAATGAGAGTGCGGCGAAGGAGGCGAGTAAGTTGAAGAGTGAATTTTTGGCGTCCATGTCCCATGAAATCCGAACGTGTGTTTTCCCCTCCAATATCCAACTTCGTTGGTAATATGGACTACGCTAAACCCAACGCAGGCCAATCACCGGAGTAGTGGGAATGGCTGAAATCCTTCTGGATACTCCACTTGAAGGAGAACAGCGAGAATTCGCGGAAAATATCCAACGCTCCGCAAATGCCCTCTTAACCGTCATAAATGACATCCTTGATATTTCCAAGGTCGAATCGGGTCGTCTAGACATCGAGGAAGTCCAATTTAGTCTTCCGCTAGTCATCCAGGATGTCACAAAAATGCTTTCTCTGGATGCCGAGCGCAAGAAACTGCAGTTCGATCACATCGTGGACTTTGCCGAATTTGGCGAGAACATGGCGGTGATCGGGGATCCTGGGCGGGTGAGGCAGATTTTAACTAATTTACTCACAAACAGTATCAAGTTCACTCATGAAGGATTCGTCAAGCTGGTTGTTAGCGTTGAGAAGGAAGATGAGGACGTAATTGTCGTCAAGTTTGTTGTTAAAGACTCTGGCATTGGCATTGACGAGGATGTTCAGCAGAAATTATTCCAGCCGTTCACGCAGGCTGATTCGTCGACTGCGAGACGGTTTGGAGGCACTGGGTTAGGGCTGACTATTAGTAAAAATGTGCGCTCTTTTTTTTGGCTCCGAATCTTTCTGTGATTCAAAGGTCTAACATCTTTGTAGCTTGTTGACCTTATGGGCGGCTCTATTGGCCTTAAATCCAGTCTTGGCGCTGGAACAACGGCCCACTTTGTCATACCGTTTCACAGACCTCAGTATCAAAATGGTTTGGTGTATCCGCCTAATGTCAGCACGTTGCCGGATAGACTGCAGTCAGACTTATCTGTGTCCTGTCAATCTTCAGATTACGGCGTCTCGACTCCTCCCGAAAGCCCTATTGACCCAGCAATGAAGCAGAGGGCAAGATCTGCCAGCAATACAAAAAGGATTACTCCGCCGCTGGGGCCACCCCCTGAGAGTCCGGAAGAGAGGAAGAGAACCCATGTGCTTGTTGTTGAAGATAGTACGTATCTGCCCTCTTCTCAATCTCTATACCTTGATCTAGAGTTGGGACTCACTGTGATACTTCTAAAAAGACGACATAAACCAACAAATAGCTATCCGCTTAATCAAAAAACTAAATTTCACCGTCTCGGCGGTCTCGAACGGCCTTGAAGCCCTCGAATTCCTCAAAGAAGCCGCACCAAACGGCACCACCACCTCCCTATCCCCCGCAACCTCCACCCACCTACGCCCCAGACGCCCTGATATAATCCTAATGGACGTCCAAATGCCGGAACTCGACGGCTATAGCGCCACCAAAATCATCCGCTCGGGTAAGCTCTACTCATATCCCTGCACCCCGAACCACCACGTGAACGTGGAACAGGATCTCCTGCAGCTCTCACAGACCCTGCCGAACCCGGACTCCCCCATCACGACATGGCTCCAGGACGTGCCGATCGTGGCGATGACTGCATCCGCTATTCGTGGGGATCGGGAGAAGTGCCAGGAAGCGGGTATGGACGATTACCTTGCAAAACCGGTCCGTAGCGCGACACTGGAGAAGATGTTGTTGAAGTGGTGCCAGGTCAAGAAAAGGCCTCCCTCTCCTCCGCCTCAGATTGCGCTATCGCCACCAGCAATAGTAGCAGCACGACCGGAAGACTCTGTCCTAGTTGCTGTGACAGGAAAAGGCATTGTCGAAAGCCCTGATATCCAAGATATTGCCACTGTGGAACGCTCGTCGCGTGAAACGCCCCGCGCAAGCACCACTCCAAATCCTTTTGATAAGGTATGTGGGAATGTCAGTGATGGTAGCGGTAGGGGTGTCGGAAATTACACTCCGGGTATTGGACAACGAAGGTCTTGACAACAAATCACCTGATGCGCTGGTGGGCTTTTGTTCTTGCCAATTGTGGTTTAATTTCGCATGGCATTTTTGCTCATTACGAACTACTTTGGGCATTTCTGGCGGGCTAATTAATGCTCTTGATTTTTGATTTTCTTTCGGAATTGAAATGGAAGTTGTTTGGATATCAAACGTCCCGTAATACATGTGGTATACAATACGATACGATATGGTATGGTATACCTGACTGGCTCAGCCACTGACCAGTGATTTTGTTGTTGATTGGGTGTGGGCGCAAAATCTTTATCATTTTTTCCCTTTCACTTTCCGGTTTTTGGCCCTCTTCGCATTTTACCCATCTCCGCTATTATGTTTCTTCTCCCTTCTACCCCTCTGGATCGGTTGTCTTCTTTCTACCCGCATGTATCATATTATCGCGAAAAACAGCCGACGTTTAGAATTTTTGTCATGGGTCCGGTGGTGCGGCATGGGGCGTCACTCGTTCTGCAAGCTTCGTTCCGGGACAGGAGCCGGAGTGAGTGGAGGAAATGCAATCGCAGTGGCCTGTTTTTTTCCCCTTTTTTTCTACTTTCCTCCGACGGGGTTCATTGAAATAAGTGTATGTACTGTGCAGTGCAGTACAATACCTCCATGCTTTTGAAATCTACGCGCAAGTTGGTGGCAGCTGCGTTCGAGTAATCTCTAAGGATGCGTGATGGCTTACACCGCTTTTTTTGACCCAACCCTGTTCTTAAGTTATCTTGGCAGTTTCGTACGATACCGCCCTGTTTAATTGCCGCCTCAAAAATCATGTTCGCGAGTGTGGAGCCCTTCTTACGAGTGAGCACTCATACCCCAGCAGATGTTACTCTTTCCCTTCACTTAAGCCGTACCCTATCCCCGACATGATAGCGGTCCTCAACGTACTTTGCCTACGAGGCTTTCTCGCCATTCCGTTCTCTCCCACCGCTCGGATGAGAGACAGAAGACGGACGTATACAGTATCTGCCGCTAGGGCTACCAGTGCGCCGTACTGTACAGCACAGCACGGCGCTTTAAACATGCGCGGATGTTGGTATCCGGTGACATACCGCAATTCTCGCTCTATCGTTGGAAGTATAGTTCAAGAAAAAAGTGGGCTCTTGCTCGGTCTCCGGTTCACTGGCTGGCTGGCTGGGTAGCTGTTTTCCAGATGGGTAAATCTTGTCATGTTTTTTATAGCAAGGTATTGATGCTCCCAGCCAAATCCCTTACAGTTTTTTTCTTATTTTTTTTGCTTCCTCTAATTAGGTTCCTGAGTTGAAGTCATGGGTCGTGCTGTGTTTCTTTTTTTCTTTTTTCCTCCTCTACTGGTGTATGATGCCGGAAGTGTGAATGAGATTGGAGGGGATAGTATGCTTCGGAGCATAGACCTTGAGAAGCTTGGACGGTGGTCGTGAATTGTTGATTCCGGTATATGATATTACATATATTTACTTACCCTTCTGTTAGAGGACGCTCTGTTGGTTGGCTGGGGGGCCGCTCAAAGATGGGTTGCGCAGCCAAAGTTAAGATGTCCGATCTGGTCCTCTTATCATACAGCGGTTTCCTTTTCCCACATCCAATCCCTAAACAATAGGACGAAGGGGAGGGAGCACTGCCAAGGTGTTTACTAACACCCCTATACTTTCTTGCTTGATTTCTAGGAGTTGACTCCAATCACTTGCCAACAACACAGCGCATTTGAAAGGCGTGTGGAAAGGAAGGAGGGAGAGAACAAGGGAAAGAGAGCAAAACCGGAATCAACAGGTATCTCTGACCTAGTATTCTGTACCGGTACTGTGGAGAAGATGCTGCCCGGTATTATACTAAGTTAAATGAGGCGCGGCGCTATCCGAACTTGGTGGAACGTGAAGGGGGATGTCCCCCTCCTTACCTCGGGGGCTGAAAAATATCCACAGCAATTCAATTTAGCAACCAGCCGTTTAGATATATGATATATATATATACATAACTAGAACAGAAAATACAAAAGACAAAATGGAACATACCCCTGAACAACAACTAGATTCCGTCCCTTAGCTCAATATTGACTGGTCTGTTTACTACGCCGGAGGAGTAATGGATGCGGGTTCCAGGTCCCTCAGTATACCACCAGCCGGGTAGGGCGACGGGATAATGAGCGTATGGAACAAAGGCTTAGACGATGTTTGCAAAAAATGGGGCAGGGTTCCGGGCGCGTAGAGCGGAGTATCAAACAGGTGGAACGGAGGGCCAAGGATGTGGAATTATATGTCATGTAGTTAGATCAAAATATCTCATAGAAAAATTACAACATGATGTCCAGAATATTCATGGTGGGTAAGTACACCCCCTGGTTTTTGTCTAACTTAGGTAGCACTCCGGCTAACGCTTAAACAACTCCAGCCGAAACCTCTTACCAATTTGGGCTCTTTAATAGCAGAGCCCACGAAGGCGGACACTTCGGATATCCATCTGAAGTATCAAGCTCCTATCCACCACCACACACTTAGAAACATTCATGATAGATGGGTTCACCAACTAAAAAAAAAAAACTGTTATCCAACGCTTACAGATAGGGAGTTGATCAATGCCGGACTGCCGCGACCCACTTGGGACTTCTGACTCTCCCAGAGAAATGCTGTAGTTGAGGATAGATAGGTGATATATATTGCGGACTACTTGGTAGTGCCTCTGTCTTGAGAGCCTGTAGGTACACAGTACAGGGATGTTTGCTAGCTATGGAATATATACCAATATATGTGATTTAGTCATACATGTCAATTCTCCGGCAAAAAGGTCATTTTTTTCTGCTTAAGGAGGTGTTCCGTTTATTTGCTGGCTCGGCACAAGGTTTGATTTTCTTGCTCCGGAATGAACGGATGTATTATCAGTTCTTGCTTCAAACCTTCAAACCTACTCACCAATTACTTGGCTAGTAAAATCGCACTAGCAGTCCCCCCCCGCCCCCCAGCCCCCCCCGAAATTAAAGCAAAGTGTAATGGACTCTAGCTGGATTTTTTTCTTTTTTGACCTCTCAGTAAATCATACTGCCACCACAATAGATCACTTATGTATTAGAGTACTAGGGCGAAAGGGATCATCTAATCAGTAGTTACTAAGCAATACCTCAAAAAAAAACCTCACCTTCTCAAACAACTACTCCTCAACAACCATGCCTCCAGAAAAGACACACTACCTCACAGAGTTTGAGAAAGGGCAAATTGTTGCTCTAAGGGAGAAAAATATTGCTTTTTCTGAGATTGGACAGCTCTTATATTGCCCTAAGAGTACAGTTCAATACTTTTACAACCAGTATCAAAAGATGGGTGATGCAAAAAACCTCTCATTTACTGGAAAACCCAAAATTATCAATACCAGAACCTGCTATCACCTAGTTAGAGAGTCCAAGAATGTATACCACTAGTGTTTATCAGAATTGCACAATAATATTACACTCCATGCCTCAGTCAAGACAATCAAGAGAATATTGACTTCAGTCAACATAAAGAAGTGGAGAGTAAGGAAAAAAGCATTTCTGAAGGATGGACATACTATGAAGAGGTTAGCCTGAGCCTGGACAAAGGAGTATAAGAACTGAACAAAGGAGGACTTTGAAGGAGTCATCCTTAGTGATGAATGCATGGTTGAAAAGTTTAAAGATCTTAAAGGTATTTGGGTATTCAGAACATCTGAGGAAAAGTTGCATAAGGACTGCATTTAAGAAGTTACAAAAGGACCTGGGATAAAGCTGATACCCTGGGCTTGTATTTGGAGTAAAAATAAGGGTCCTCTGATTCCTATTTTTGATGGAGTATGGATAGATTAGTATATATTAGAGTTTTGAAGGATAGCTTAGTTGATACTTAGCAGGAGGTAGAAGATATAGTTGGAGATCCTGTATTTCAGTAGAATGGTGCAAAGATACATACTGCAAGAGATACTATAGCTTGGTTTGCAGAAAACTATATACAGGTTATGGAATAGCCACCCAATTCCCCAGACCTTAATCCTATTAAGTACTGTTGGAAAAAAAGTAAAGGAAAAGCTACACCAGCACTTTCCTAACATTCACAAGGCTAAGGGGGGTCCAGATACTATTAGAAGGTATCTAGCAGAAGCTCTTAATATGGTTTGTAACCTTCCAGGATATTGAAGGAGAATTCTTGAAAAGCTTATGGGAGTCGATACCTGGAAGAGTGGCTGCTGTTTTAGATGCAAAAGGATGATATACATAATAATGATCTTTTTTCTTTTCAATCTCATATAGGGTTTTTACTACATTTAATAGATGTCTATCTTAAATTTTCAGTTCATTCTAAGTAGTTGTAGTTGTATAGGTAATAATTTTAAAGTGGTTCTGGGGTTGCCGTCACTGTGTGGAAAGATACCTCTTGTCCTCGTACTTAACTAGATCTGCGCCTCGGGTGTCTGCAAGACAAATAGTTAAGTTACCCTCCCAGCATCAAACTCCTCATCTGTAGTCGTTTAGAACTGCAATTTACCGGAAGTTATCATATTAGCATTTTACGATACCAATACATTCAGTATTATTCAAGCACGTTTTAGGTATAAATTTATACTCATTCCTTATCCTTATTCTACCCAAGAATGCCTTTCTAAGTGGGGTATCCTTTTGTTCTTAGGAAAAAAGATCCAAAATGAAGTTTCTTACTTCCATGAGATATCAATATGCCACCGCAAAAAAAAACCACTCAACCAATCTCCGCAACTCTGCTCTCCTGCAAAACTACAACATTGGTCAACGCCACATCCTCCTCCCCGGGCATACTCATAGGCGCCGAAATCCCAATCAGCAATTCCGCAACCCTTCCGCAAAACGCACAAACAATCCCCTCGCGCGTAGTCATCTTCCCCCGAACACACTCTGCGCAGAAGGCGTGATTGCACTTGCGTAATCTGCTCACACCAGCCGACAAAACAGATATATTAGAAAGGAAAAAAAAAAGTGAAGCCAGGAAGAGAAGAAGGGGCGGGGAAACAAACATGCAATCAACCAATTGCCCATTACATCTCAGACAAACCGTCGGTCGTCTGGGGTCAACCTTTACATCCGCTGAAACGCCAACTTCCTGATCTATTGTGCCCAAGCTCTTTATCCCTCCATCTCCATCCCCGCTAAAGCCATAAACACCCTCCCCTTCCTCCTCATATATCCGGTAAAATGGCAGTCCGGCCTTAGCATAAGACTCGGTCGTGATGGGCGTCTCGGGGGTTAGCATCCCAGTGCAGGTTTCGAATGCTATAGAGTTAAGTATCTGAATGTTTAGCACGCGTGCGTTGTTGGAATTGTACGAGTTTTTGGGAAGTGGGTCTGGGTGTATTTTTTGGGAAATGCGACCGCCGGCGGCTAGGCCCATGTCCCAACGGGGTTGTTGTTGCTGTTGTTGCTGGGGTGGTGGGGGTGCAGTACTTTGTGGGTATGATGGGGAGGAAAGTCCTG